TGCTGGGAGAGCCCGCGGGAGCCGCCGGGAGCTGTCCGCGGTGCCCGGTGCCAGGCTTCTCCTCCCCTGGGCCCGGGACAAGCAAGCACCGGGTGGCACTCCACCGGTCGCCTCCTGAGAGCACAGCCCCCACCCACCTGGAAACTCCCCTCGGCTCACGCCACCGAGGGAGCAAGGGTGGCCCCCAACCCCTGGCTCCCCCTCAGGCCTCGGTGGCTCTGAGCTCGCAGGATGGGGCTGGCTGCCCTCGGGTTTCAAAAGGACTCCCAAGTCCTGGCCGCTTTGGCTCAGTGGATGGAGCGACAGCCCGTGAACTGAAGGGCCCCGGGTTCCGTTTTGGTCCAGGGCACGCCCTCGGTTGCACCCCCTCCAGGGAGCCTGCAGCCCCCATTCTGCACAGCCAGCACCCGGAGCTGGGCCGGGTTTGGGCTCCCGAAACATTAAGCCTGTGCCGGCGGGTTTGTCTGGACCCACCCGTGGTCGGGCACGTGCGGGAGGCAACCCACCAGTGTGTCTCTCTCACATCGGTGTTTCTCTCTCCGTGTCTCTCCACCTCCCTCCACTCTCTCTCAAAACCAGTGGAAGAATATCCTGGGGTGAGGATTAGCAACAAACAAACAAACAAACAAAACGGCTCACAACCTGGCAGGGTACAGGGTACAGGGTGGGGTCGGGGGGCAAAAGGCCGATGCTATCCTCCCACACAGGCCTGACCAGACAGAGAATGTCTGAGCTCACCTCCCAGGAGAGCCCAGGTAGGCAGGAGACGCAGCCACACCCCCCACCCCTCAATGAGGCTCCCCACGCCTCCCCGCCCCTCCCCAGCCTCCCCATGAGGCTCCCCACGCCTCCCACACTCAGGGGAGGCCTGCAGGAGCGCAGGTGGGTGCAGCTGGGTCTCTGGGGTGTGGAAAAGCATCCGCAGGAGGTGCGCTGGCTCCCTGTTCGCCGGCCACGCTGGGCTCCACAGCCAGGCTCTCCACCAGGCCCCTCCCTCCCGGAGATGGAGCCCAGCGCCCCTCCTTCCCTCCCTAAGCTCCACATCCCCACTCCCACCCCCTCAGGGTCTGCCCCTCCTCCTGTCTCTGAGCACCACCTGGACCCTGGCGCCTGCCTTGCCCACGACCTGCCCTCTCACATCTCCACTCCCCGGCCCCCACCCCAGGCCCACTCTCAGCCGGGCCCAGCCTGCAGTCTGGCCTCGGTCACTGATGCAGGTCGGGTGCTGCAGGGGCTCTGCTGGCCGGAGACGACCCCAGGGCCTCAGGGCCTCTGGCCAGCCAGCAGCTGCTCCAGGCCAGGACCGTGGAGCAGGGGGCCGTGGTCAGCGCCGCCCCAGGTCTGGACGTGGAGAGGAAGTGGGGAGAGCCAAGGGCCACCCTGGGGACCGGGAGGGGCTGCGTGGCCAGCACAGCTGTGGGGAGGGAGGGCAGGCGCTGCTTTAGGACAAACTTTTTATTACAAAATGTTACAAGGAGGTGCGGGGCGGCTCCCAGCCTGTGGGCTCCTAATGCAGACCCTCCCCCTAATGCAGACCCTCCTCCTAATGCAGACCCTTCCCCTAATGCAGACCCTCCCCCTAATACAGACCCTCCCCCTAATACAGACCCGCTGTGGGGTCTGAGGGCCCCAAGGATAGGAATAGAGGCTCCACTTCCCGGGGGCCCACCTGTGGTCGCAGCTGTGGGTCTCGCCATGACCCACCCTCAGCAGCAGGAGGAGCAGGAGGCCTGTGATGAGCGGCCGCAGGGGCTGCAGGGGCTGGATCCGGTGCCCTTCCCCCACCCGGGCCCCTGGGAGTGGGTGTTGGAGTCCCCACCCGGTTTCCTGGCTGCTGAGGGGCAGCGATGTTGAGTGTGGGGTGAGGTGAGGGACGGGGACACGGGGCCGGGCAGCCGCCCCCAGCAGGTGCCTAGATGGCGCTGGGCGACTT